GATCTGCAAAGTGACCAATCATGGCATGATATTCAATTTGTGTGATCGACCAATCACGAGAAAGTTATCCTATATGCAAATCACATATTCGTTCTATTTTTAGAGATCTATATATACCCGTGACCATGGTCTAACCATAATAAGTAATACCCTAAATCGTAAGAATCGGGCCTCTGTTGTTTACTTCCGCGCTAAACAATGTCGTCACAATACAAGATATCACAAATTGCGGGAGAGAAATACTTTACGTCAACTCCTACGAGCGAATGGTCATATTCTGGGTATCTCGAGGCCGTGGAACCTTACATTAATATCAGCACCAGGCTGAGTGCATTAAAATCTTTATGGAAGAAACGATTTAACGAACATTTAAATGAAATTGCAAAAGATCGTTCGGATGAAGAAAAAAATGTACTATTGCAACAACTCTTCTTCTTCAGGTCAGATTTGGTGCTAGATTATTTCCAGACTGTATTTGTGCCACTGGGAGCAGGTGACGCCCTGTTAACTCCTGGAGCTAGGTGACGCCCTCGGTACAATATATAGTGCTTGTACTTATGCATTGCACCACTGGAAGCAGGTGACGCCCTGTTAACTTCTGGAGCTAGGTGACGCCCTCGGTGCAATGTATAGCAAGCATCAATGATCTTTGTATAATTACATATCTGATATAAATAAAGCAAGGCTAATAGATAATTTATATTTTTATTTAAGGATTCAAAAGCCACTGAATTCTGGGATCAATTTGAAAAGAAACGAACTCTAAAACAACAACAGGTATATAACGATTAGTGGATAGGTTTCAATCATTAATTCATCTAATACTGTTGTATATTGTTAAACAGTATAAGACAAATATCGACATACAAATAAATACTCTAAAAGTGATGAGCACTGCTTCATTGTATCAGATGAATGAATTATCCAAACAAATGGAAATTTCACGTGACAATGACAAAAATCTGGTAAGATTATGAATATTACTAATATACAATTCTTTAAGAGTAGCTAACAATATACTTTTTTTTTTATAGAAACGTCAAAATGATGACTATATTGAGAAAGAAAATTCAAAATCTTGTAAAGTTGGGGATGTGAAGAAGCAGGCAGAAGAAAATGGGAATAAATTGGTAGGTATTGCAATCCTTTATTTACTTTGTGTGGATATAGAAATATCTAAACAATTAAAATGAATTTTACAGAATGATAACGATCACAGTCAGGTTAAAAACCTCTTAAACGAGTTACGTAGTTCAGAAAAAATGAAATATTTAGTGGAATGTTTTCAAAAATATTGTAACGAATCTGTCAATGATTTAACTCGGAACGAAATTATGGATCTTACTCCGTCTTCGGAGTTCGTACTAAGATATACGGATGAAGATGACTATATGCAAGTTCTAGAAGAGACCTTTGAGTCTGTTGATAAGTTATTTCCAGAAAGCGCGATTAAGTTCCTTAATGAGTTTTTTTCAGAGGTATTTTTTATACTATCCAGTGGTAATTTGTCTCTTTGCCTGTCAATTACATCATCGCTATTTATATTTTGGCAGAATTGTACTCACGAACAATGGGATGATAAGTTAGAAAGCTTATTAGAACCGGAGGATGATCAATTTTTAAAAAAATTGAAAAGACTATTATTCGAAACATTACCTATCTTGTAAGTATCTTTTTTATTCTCAGTTAAAACCACTATTTACTGACATTTTTATTTGGCTTTTAGCTTTGATGCATTTTCATTGCTCTATGATAATCCACTCAAAAATCACAATATGTTGGAAGAAGAGTACATGAACACATACATCCATCCTGTTCTAAAGAAGGTTTTGAATAGGTTTTCGAATATTCGTTATATACCGTAAGTATTATCCCTAACAATATTTTTTATATTATTATGTTAAGTTTTGATTTTTTTTTTTATAGAGGTAACAAGGCTGTTCAAGCATCTGCGTATAGGAAACTAGTAATGAGGCAAGAGGGATGTGCAGATCGTTCAGGCGGCCTTGCTTACATTACGACAGAAAAACAATATGAAATATGTGTTATAGAAGGATATAGACCATATGTCGTTGATGACACGAAAGAAATGTCTGATTTTGTTCAGAATGCGAGGGCAGGAAAAGATATAATAAATTACACTGTTGTGTCTGAAGTTAAATTGAAGCGAGCTCCGCCTTTACAATTTAAGGCCTATATGGTGCAGTGTATTGGATTAAGCCTTAGATTTTACTTTATGGATTATTTAGGTATATATATATTTATGAACATTATTGCAAGAAGAGATTGTTTTGCTAACAAAATTTTTTCATTGTTTTCAGGAAAATATCGGCTTTTCGAAATCGAAACATGCGAAATTCCAACGGACCTGGAAGGCGTTGATTTATTTCCATCTTTTTTTAAGGCAGTTGTGACTTGGGCTGTAAGTAATAGAACGATTTGTTATTTTGGATTTGCTTTTACTGATTTCATCTATCGTTTTTTTATCGTGTAGTTGATGGTTAGGGACACCGATCAAGAGTTCCGAACGGTGAGAAACAGAAGGAGTGCGCGCTACAGTAACGCTCATAATTTGCGAGTTCTTTCAGAAATAAGTCATAACAAGCCTCGTACAGGCAATGCAAAAATCATAAAGGAAAAAAATAATATAAGCGGAGTATAATAAATGATAAAGGCAACATCATCATTACATTCGCAATTTCATAATACGTAGAGAATAATAATACATTAAAAAAGATTTTTATCGTGTATAATTAGATTTTGATGTTACTCATTTTGTTAAATATAACATTAATGATTGCCGATCACTTTGCAGACCTCGGGTCGTTCAAATTTTCCAGAACGAAAAATTCTCGATCATATATAGCATTGATATCAACACAGCATAGCGAACATTCATTGTAATTGGTTAGATTTTGTTGATCATCTCGTGATTTTATTTGCTAATTACCTAATCA